ACCCTCCCTCAACGTTGGATTATCTGATCTGTGCTGTTGACTGGTTACCCCTTCAACGTTGAATTATCTGATCTATCTGTATTGCCATTCAAGTTGAAATAATACCAAACACCAGTTTCTGCGAGATAACTGGATTGTTATCCAACATAACGATAATATAACATCGGCCTCAATATACCAATCACACTCTGATTAGGCTTAACCAACTTTCTTCTATTCTCATACATACTAAGCAAACTCTTTTCAGTCACTTGACAAAATGTATCCATAAACTATGAAGTTTTTTTATGATCAGTGTTTCTACGTTCTGCTAATTTATTACTCTAAAAGGTAGCCTCTCTTGCCTTTCGAAAAATGTTGTTTGTTTGAATTTCGCACAAAGCTACACTACGTCTATCAGCGCTAACCGTCCCTAATTTAGCAGTGATAGACTAGAGGGAAGGCAGCTAGTCAACATCACCCACCGACAATACTTGGACTACTCTTTTTTACCAACGAATAGTGGGATTGACCGCCACATTATATTATGAAAGGGCGAAAATTGTACGATGACGGGATTCGAACATGCGACCCACAGATTGCAAATCGAGTGCCCTAACCGCCAGGGCATTCCAAACCCATTTCAGTCCCCGGATGCTCAGCGGTAAGTTTGAGGGCTCACACCACTAAAAACCGGGCTTCGATATCCGTGGTAGGCATAGCACAGATAGCCCATTGTGTAGCTTTGTGCTTAACACAAACAAACAAACAAACATGGCCCTTTCTAGAGAGTACAGACTTCTGTGATAGTGTATTTATGTGATTTTTGAGATGATTAAAAGTTGTATTTTTACTGATGTTAGTATAGCTATAGCTAAAAGCCCGTGATTGGAACATAACAATAAATATTAAATATATTGTCCCCCGGTGTGACAGTGGTAAGTTTACGGACTTACAACGTAGTGGACACAGTAGACAGCCTAATGTGGCATTGCTCTAAAACAAACAAAAATCAAACATTTTTTAATGTTAAAATCCTCTTCTATTTTTTGTTTTCATCTACTCAAAAGTTTGATACGTCCACCCCCAACCATCATCCCGAGAACAACCATTTCAAATTTGTAGTCATTTATAATCTTCTATTTTTCGTTTTCATCTACTCAAAAGTTTGATAAGTCCACCCCCAACCATCATCCCGAGAACAACCAATTCAAATTTGTAGTCATTTATAATCTTCTATTTTTCGTTTTCATCTACTCAAAAGTTTGATAAGTCCACCCCAAACCATTCATTCCGAGAACAACCAATTCAAATTTGTAGTCATTTATCAATCAGGAACGGAGAGAAAGTTTTAATTTGGGGTTGTTTTCCTCCAAGTACAAGCCTCCTAAAACATAGTTATAAGAAGAAGAAAAAAAACACTTTTAATCATAGCGTTAATAAACTTGTCAATATTTTGTTAGCCACAATTCTGCAAAATGGATTTTCTGTGCTCATCGCAAGGATAGAACCCAGGGTTTGAGCGTTATAAGCCTCCAAGCTTATCGCTGAGCCAGCGAAGGGCAATCATTGATAACATCAACCGTTATAAAATAAAAATTAGATGAATCACATCTGTTAATATTATGCCATTACGAATCTGTTCTAACATGGGGGATGTCTTTTTCAACCTCTTTCCACTCACCTCCTTTTCGAGTTAGTCATGTCTAATTGTTTCGATATTATTTAAAAGTATGTGCGTCTATTTATATATTCTTAAGTACAAAGCTACCTGCTCTCTGTCCATTAAAAATTCAGGAGTTTGGCGAAAGTCAACTAATGTCAAAAATGTACTATATTTGATATGAACCAGTTTTTAACTTTTATAGTGACAATTTTTAATTCTTAAAGTAACCAGTTTTTAACTTTTATAGTTACCATTTTTAATTCTTATAGTAAACAGTTTCGAACTAGTGTTAGTAAGGATAGTAAGCACTTTTTCAGTTCTGATATTAGCCAGTTTTCAACCATTATGGTAAACAGTTTTTAACCCCTATAGTTACCAGATTACTGATTTGGTAGTAACCAAATCAAATAGTAAATAGTTTTGGGCATTGACAGTCAGAAATTTTTCTCTCTCATGGGAACCAATTTCCGGATCTGGTAATAACCAGTTTTGCGCATTTATATTAACTTGCTTTTAACATTAGAATATTTAATTACTTGAAAATGTAACTACGCAGTTTTAAAAAGTATAAATTCTTATGTAATTTGTCGATGTTTAAATACAGTAAGTTTCTCTTATTCTCTGTCCACACATACGTGCATATTTAATCGCTAATGCCTCTCCAAGTCTACACACTTCAACCTGACATCTGTGTTTATCTAAGGCCTCACACGCCCTCTGTCGGGTGATAGGACGAAGTTGACTCGAGTTGATTGTCATACAGATTATACATCTTTTTAAGAGAGCACGCAGAAGGAAATTACCGAGGTGTTTCCTTGGTAACGGGTAGGGTACGGCCAGTCCTGTGGGAGGTGTTCTTCATGAACTATGTCGCTGGAAATTAATCAGCAGTGCGTGAAAAATATTTTTTTTTCTCTTTCTTTTCTGATTCCCGATGATTACACCGTCGGTAGTAGAGTGTGCCGTAGTGGGTGGAGCTGTACTTTTATCAGTCGCGGGAAATGTGGGTCAAAACACGATTCCTGAGCCCAGACCCCATCAATGGTAGTTCCAAGCTATGACCCCGACCCCTGGATCCTAGAATCATTAAAGGATCGTGTTAGCAACGTCATGAGTTGTAGGGGTCGGATTAGAGCTTGGAACACAAACGAACAATTATTACTTGACGGTTCGTGGACGGAAAAACAAAACTGCTGAACATCTTTTTCAGTAGTTGTTATCGTATCGTCACGATAGGCCAACGTCACGAAGTTTCAATATTCCGTGTTAAGTTTTCGTCATAGTCGGTTCTTGGCTGCTAGTTAACATGTCTGAAATTGAACTTATAAGTGCTGAAACGAATAATAAAGACAATTACGTTTTACTTGTTCATTGGAACGAGCAAGTAAACGACCACCTTGCTGCTGTAAACTTTTCACAAACCCAGCCGTAAACTAACGTGTTGCAAAATAAGTAAATCAGCGAACAGGTCAATATCAGACACTAACCCTAAAAATTTACAAACTGGATTTTAATATTTTCACTGCCGGTGGGGTCCACATATGTAGCATCATTTTGTGTATATTTTTTTCTACCAATTAAAAGACAGATACGAATGTTTGTTACTAGCAAGAAGCGCCACCTGGTGATTCTAAATATTACAGCTTTTAGTTTTCCTGTTTGTTGACATATTTATTATATAATGTTGTCTTCATTAATTCAGAAGTTTATTTTTAAATTTAGTTGTACTCTTTACAACACAGTAGGATTATACTTGATCAGAAATTCGAATAATTACATTGGTTTACTTAATACTCTCTATACTGGCGCTTAACCCTAATTTAATTCTTTCTCTACCGATAACTACATTAGTTAATTATTTACGTATTGGCGATTAACCCTAATCTAATCCTTTCTTTACCTGCAATCAATCGTAACTTAATCCTTTTCCCTACCGACGGTTAATCGTAATTTAATCCTTTCTACTGACAGTTCTTGTTGGAGTCCCTCAGTAACTTAGCCGCAAGCTTAAGGGTTTAGAACGCTGGAATATAACAGCGCAAATATCCTATTATGCAGTTTTCGCACCAAAACTAAGAAGAAAAAAGTTTGGATAGTTACACCATCCGGTGACAAGTAAGCGAAACCCAGAGAGACTGAAAGAAAGTTGTGAGGAATTTAAGAATTGCCAGGTGAAATTGGGTCGTGCTTTAGGGCAAATAATCCCCGTAATATAATTAGAAAGAACAAGATCTTAGGAAGCATTAAAAAAAAGTTCAGAATGTGCTCAGTGGAAAAAAAATAAAATAAGAGGTGAGCAGATGTTGTAATAAAACAATTAAAATAAATTGATTTGTAAATACCATTTATAAAACAAGCCTTTTCATATTTTTCTTAAATCAAATTTTGAAGATTATCAGTCATTTCTTTTCTCCCTGTTGCTTTCAATAAACAGCGAAAAAGAATAAGATTTCTTTTTGCAGATAATCTTTTATTTAGACTGGTTTCTTTCTGTAAACTGTAATCAATTATATATTCCCCCGTGTTTTACTGCAACTACTATCACAATTACAGTTAAGGTGTAATAATAAAGACACACAAAACGTAAATCTGTGATTAACAACTTTTTAATAAATCATCGGAAAAAAATGTAATCAATTAGAGTCGTAATAAATAAAGGACAGTGTCAATATTTATACTCTGGAAACCATGGCTATTTACAATGAGAATAAACAACAACAAAAAAGGGGTGGAAGCACTGGACAAGTGAATTCTGATCACAAGAACCAACTTTGAAGACTGGAAAAGTAAAGACTGTGAAGTATGATCGTCCACAAGCAACAAAATATTTACTACCTGTACAGAAAATAATAATAAAATAACGTCCTTTTCCATACAGTTCTTAGTATCACACTTTGAGAGTAATTTCTTACAATGCATGTATAGAACATTATGTATATATATTTATACACACATACACAGAAAGAGATTGATTGATATGCATTTTAAAATGTTCTACTTTTCTTGTTACTATATTTCTATAAATGTAATGTTTTGAATTGCCGAGGAATAAAAAGAAAAGAATAACGATCATTTTTTCGAAAGTTTATACAAAGAGGCTAACAATACGAAAGCTTTAAAAAGGAAAACCTAACCCAGTATTTTATCTAACACTTGGATTTTAAACTTTTCTTTCAACTTGTCATGTCGACACTGCAGTGCAAGTTTAAAAAAACATGTCCCGCCCTGTTTGACAAGTTAACAGATGAAGAAGAGTAGAGTAGAGTTAAGAGGGTCCTCAAAAGCTCATAGGGACAGCTATAAATCGTTGATTAAAGCAAAGAAAAAAAAAAAAAACGGCGATGATGTGTGTGAGATATATATATATAAACACAAATTTAGGTCTACTCTTTCCGTTGATGTTTTCTAAACAAATCTGGTATTTAACTGAGTTTTCGTTTGAAGAAAGCTGAGTTTCGAAACTCCCGTTTTGTGGTTGTAAATCTCCCTATTCAGCGACTAGCTTCGTAACTTTTTCAAACTCAATACCGTCTTTAAAGTTCTCCTCAACATTCTTGAGAACGAGACATAAAAAAACTTAACAGACATGTGCAACAGCTGTGGTGCCTCCAACGGAAACATCCACGCAAAATGAACTGATAACATTTTCTTTGTAACGACCACCCTTTTTCTTTGTTAACATTCCTCCATGATCAGTAGAAAAGGGGGGGGATAACCCCCATGCCCCCCCACTGCACTTGGTTAGGACTATAAGGTAATTTAACCTACTGCACAAACGTAGACAATTAGGTAAACAGATAACGTAAGAAGAAAAACTTCTAACATATTTAAGTTTGATCTAAAAGGTGTTGAAATGATAAAACCAGCCTCTTTTGAATGTATAAATAGAAGTCGATTATAACTATTTAACCGAGGACAGAGATTCCCAATTTTTTGTATCGAGTATCCTCATTCAGACCTCTGAATTAACGTATATATAATATGTTTAAAAACCAAACAAACTTAAAAGTGGTATATATTCATAAAAACAAATTAATCATTGGAAATAATTCAAGAGTGAGTCATCAGGACACCAACGCTGAGGGCTGGTTAGTTGTAACTCAGACTTTTCTCCAATTTTAGGGCGTGGGGTTCATTTTATTTTCAATGTTTTTCAAAGTTTCTCCTAGGGGTAAACGTATCAAAGATTGGGGATTATTGTTCTAGGGGAACAAAATTTGACCAGAAGCGTATTGAGAAGCACCAGTATTATTTAGGAAAGTCTGACCATGATACAGGGTATTTCAAAGAAGAAGGAAAAAACAGTCGCAAGTGTTCAATGTTTTTTTCCGCCATTTTTCATCTATCCCTTGAACGAAGGTGTTACAAGACCTGATCTGAACACGGTTCCTCGCAATTTAGGAACCACTGTTGTACACTAATCTTAACCAAAGTACCAAACACAGAAATAAAACAACGCGGATTTAAGTTTGGATGATGTTAAGCACAAAGCTACACAATGGGCTATCTGCACTCTACCTGTCACAAGTAACGAAACCCAATTTGTAGCGCGAATTTGATAGAGAAGTGATTTAAACAAACGGTATAACGTGGTTTCGAATCACCAGTACTACATCCAAACTTTACTGGGGTGGGGTATGTCGAAACTCCCCGCGCCTCTAATGAGAGTTTCTTTACAATCACTCTGTATACAAAGTCCTTAAATATGGTTAATTAAGCCTAGATATAAAAATATCTAGTATGTATATCAATGAATGCAGCCTGATGATCAAAACAATAAACACGTGCTTCTACCAAATCATGACATTGTTCATAATATTCGTTAGGAAAACTCATAGTTGACGATAGATTAATCCTAAACAGAATAGAAGTGTCTAGAAAGGAAACCGTGAAGTTTTCTAACAAGTAAGATCATCTTATCACTTCTTATTTCTAGTAAACTTTATATCAAACAAAAGAAGAACACAAACAGAAATGAGTTTTTAGGTTTCTTTTCCACTGTCCTCAAAGAATAAAAAAAATAGTTTGTAAAATAAAAAAGACAAGCTTTTGTAAAAAATAAATTATTCGTTACCCTTGCTTATTGGTATTATAAGAAATCGGGTATTATGTTTCAAATCTATTAAGTTAACTCACTTTAAAGCTAGTCACGTATAGTAGCTAAATAATTCCCTTAAGAGCTACTCGAAGGGTTTTGTTAAATATTTTGGTGGATATCCTTCTATTGTTGTTAAGTATCTTTGTGGTTAGCCTCTTTTTGTTGTTAAGTATCTTTGTGGTTAACCTCTTTTTGTTGTTAAGTATCTTTGTGGTTAGCCTCTCTTTGTTGTTAAGTATCTTTGTGGTTAGCCTCTCTTTGTTGTTAAGTATCTTTGTGGTTAACCTCTTATCATTGATACGTGTCTTTCACTCGGCATCTCCACGCACACAATCACGTCATTACAGGATTATAAACTAGATTTAAAAACACTGCTTACTCTAAACCAATCCAAACCTCTGATTAATTACACGTTTTGAAAAATAAACTTGTAAGTTTTCGTGTTCTGAATGAATGAAACTGGAAAGAAAAAATGCTGTTTTCTTCATTCTGGGCATTTGCCAGCTCACTTATCCCTAACTTCTTCACTCACACATACTTACTGGACAACTGTCTGGCTAATTCAGTGTATTTTAAAAACTTGGAATGAGGGCTTTCTTCCACAAGTGGTGGGGGTGGAGATTCCTTTGTTGGTGTTGTAGGTTCCGGTGAGCCCCCACAGACAGATGAAAATTTCCAAGAAGGACCGTACAAGTTTCCATCTTTAACGAAGTGTACTTTACTTAGATGGTGTCTGTAAGCACCCTTGGAGATAAAGTGGGTGTCACAAAAGGCACACCTCAGCAGTGAATCCGATGCAGCTGCGTCGTTACACGCCCAACTAAACGCTAAAAGAGATCCTTGAGTTACCTGGTTGTTAGGCCTAGTGATGGAAGCATCTGTTTTGTCCAGAAGCTTCTGGAGTTCCTTGAGAGGATGGCCTGATGAAGTTTCTTGTATTTTTTCCTTTTTATTACTCGATACCAAGCAAGATGATCTAAACTTTCGTTTCTTCTTCCTTGGTAATTGTGTGTCTTTCATCTTCTCCGTTTCTGTTTTCACATTGCTGCTGAGAAAGTCAGTATTTTGATTTTCCGTAATCGATGAGCCACACGCACTGGATGTGGGTGTACAATCCGCATCAGGAGCTACTAAAGAATTGGAAACAGAGAACAATACATCGTCTTTACCAAAAGTCGATGTACTGGGGACGCCAGATGCTGATGAGGAATTTATATTGATAGCTATTGCCTCACTAACATTACCAAATGACGCACCTTCAGAGTTACAGAGAGGTGTACCACACGAAGTGGGAATCGATGTGTCACACGCAAAAGCTGATGATGTTATACGTGCATCAGTGTCTGATCTGTCATCAGGGGAGTTTGGTGTACCAAAAGGGCCTGAAAGTTGAGTCATCCGCTCTCGTTTGGGGTCCTTCGTTTTAGAAAGCGATTCTGGAGAGTTTTTGTCGCGTTTGGAAACTGGACTCAGTGAATTAACGGCAGATGCAAACTCTGGCGTACTTCTGGTAGAATGATTCGGACATAGATTGACCTCTGGTGTTTTCCTTGCACAATCCGAGTTTGATTCAATGTTGTCAATAACGTCATGGCTGTTGGTTTTCTCTTCATTAGACGGTGATGACCTGGTTTCTTGGTTAGTGACTGACGACTCTGAGCATGCTGATCTCTGTCGACTCTGATACAAACGAGTCTCGTCAGAGTGATTGTCTCCTGTTAAAGAGTCTTCTTCAGTTATTAAGTGGTCAGAAACGGTGCTGTGAGCCTTCCGTAATCCAAGTAATTCTGTTGATGACGTCACAGTGCCTTGGCTTTTGACATGCCCAGTTTTGGTGGAGTAATCTGGAGAATGCCAAGGTGGGTAGATCTCCTCATCAATCCCTAATCGTTGCAGGATTCCTGTCAAACAAACCCCGATTTTCTTGCTTTTATTTTAAAACTTTTTTCTATTAATTTTTCAAGTGCACTTAATACAGAGATGTTGTCATTTGACACACCACAATCTACTGTTGTCTTACTTTCTTTGACGACTGATTCTGTAGGTTCTTTTTTTATGGTGATAACGTCATCCGCATTTGATACCTCGGCATTAGTTGTCTCAAGCGAAGTTCCTTGCTGCTGACTGCCGAGCTGTCCTGAAGTTTTAACTGACTGAGCGAAAGTTGTGGTGTTTTTTAGTAGATGCTGTGTTTTCGAGCTTTGACCACAACTTTTGATGTGAAATACGAATTCTTTGGCATCTACCTTTTCCCCACATTCTTCACAAGACACTCTTCCTTGCAAGGGTTCTACTTTGGATGCTGAAGAACTCTTTTCTTCGTATTTTACTTGATTAAATTTGTTTAGTTCTATGCGTTCAAGTTCCAGAAGTTTACGGACAGGAAGAGATTTCTTTCTTCTTTCCTTGTTCTGTCGACGACGCCCTCCTCCTTCTGTGATTGAGCGTAATATATGTTCTTTATAGTGAGCGTTTTTCACCATATGATAACTCAACTCTTTAAGGCTTCCAAAAGTTTGGTCGCACACCTTGCAAGTAAGAACAGCATTGAGATGAGGTTGAGAAGCCACCTGGTCCTCCGGAGTCCTCCAGGAGATGAGCTGCTCTTGACTGATGATGTTTATGTAGTGCTGGGTGACTCTCATGTGAGTTGTCATGTCTGCCAGAGTCTTGAACGACTGTCCACACCACATACACTTCAGAATTTCTTTTGTTTGTTCTGCACCCTTACCAAGCCAGATGTCCTGCCCACGCACAAGTTTCCTGGGAAGAGGCACGTGTTCCTTTAGCATATAATTTCCACCTATACTTGATGTTGAGCATTTCAGAGTTGGGGTCGTAGTTACTGGAGAAGACAGGGTGGTGGAGAAAGGTACAGGCGCTTGAATACCGGCCATGCCACAGCGAGGACTGTGTTTCATATGGATTGTCATCTCTGCAAGACTCTGAAAAGATTTCTTACACCAGACACACGTAAAGACATCTTTGTTCTGTTCTCCGCTCCTACTTATCCACTGGTTCTGCCAGGGATTCTGTCGGACCCCTTGTCGATAACCATCAGACTTAGTCAGGGGCTGGCTTTCTAGGGAACTGTCGGTCACAACAGTCACTAAGTTCGTAGTGGGAGACTGATTCTTGATCACCGAATATTTCATACCAGTAACTGGAGAACTTAAAGACGCTGTATTGAACGGTGAGCTTGAAACAACAGATCTATATTCGACAGGACTTAGTTCACCATTCCAAATAGAAGCTCGGAAATGTGGATCGACATTCTGGTCAGTTAACTCTGATGTAGTATCATTCCATGGACTGTTGGATTTGGTCAAACGGTTTTCCGAATGCCTCATCTTGGTTCTAGTTGGACAGACAAGTCCAGTGGTGAATCCTGAGTGTTCGGACTGTGTTCACTTTCGACTGGACTAAAAGGTGGACCGTTCACTAAGGGTTCTACAGAGTCTTCTTTCTTCAAACTAAAGTCCAGTGGGCCATCCTCATCCATTACCTTAGAAGAATAGTTCAAATCTTCCGACACGTCATCACGACCTTCTTTTAACATTATCTCACGATGTCCCCTTCGTTGGAATGTCACTAAACGTTTATCATTCGTGGTTCCTGCGCTTTCTTCATCAATGGTTTTCACTGCAACAATTGGGGAAACAGAACCAACATCCAAATCGGGTTCACTCTGGTCACCTGTTTCCTCGTCAGTAAGCTGTTCGGATACCACTATATGACCGGCAGAGGGAGCTTCAGATGCGGATTCATTTTTTCCGGAATAGCTTTCTTCCCCTGAAAGGAAAATCAACATCTTTTTAATGGGAACTAAGTTCACAATTAACTTATTTTAAAATAAAAAATACCGAAGTTAAAGGCACGAAAATATCGAAGGAAAATATTCATCAAGTTAACAGATGCTAACAAAGACAGATACGCCATTTTTAGAAACCACTAAACAAAGGAAAATACCCTACAATTAAGATTCTACATTTTCCTCTGTGCAATTATCTTGTAGTATTGTACTTCGACAATAAAATAAGCCAGTGTTTGGTCAAGTGCCTACACCACCATTAATTCTATCAAAATTAGAAAACTATTTTACTTTCGTTCCTTACCATATTGTACATAGGTGGCGCTGTACATTTTTACAGATGCAAAATAATGAGGATTTTTTAATCAACCAGTGAATGCACAGTGAGGAATGAGTAAATATAAATGTCCCTTACTTAACATTGGTAAATGTACAGTATCAAAATAACTGTCTGATCAGTAACATTGGTAAATATACAGTATCAAAATAACTGTTTCCCATCTGTAACATTGATAAATGTACAGTATCAAAATAACTGTTTCATAAGTAACATTGGTAAATGTACAGTATCAAAATAACTGTATCTCATCTGTAACATTGATAAATGTACAGTATCAAAATAACTGTGTTAGTATAACCATTCTTCTTGTTTTTACCTTTATCTGCTTGTTCCCCGATTATTCTACACTGTCTCTTTTATTACGTCTCCACCCAACGAGCTTGTGACGTTGAATTTCCGTTTAAAGAACATTAGCTATGCCCACGTCTGTACTTCTAGCGATTGACAATTGGTGCCGGATCATTACCAACATCATATTTTATGGTCTGCCCACCCCTTCGTACGACAGGTTTGTACACAACGCTGATGGGGGGTAAACGCGCCGCGATACTAGGTCACCACGACGTTCTCGCCCCCTATAACGACTGCCTGATGTCAGCATTACAGGCAGTACGCAAGGTTGTCTGGAAGGTTTCCTTGGGGTGGGGGTGGAAACACGTGCGACTCTGGGAGTCGAGAGTTTAACACGTTTATAACAAACTTGTATTAATTAATAATTCTCTTCTAACATCGGGTTTGAATCCACGTTGAGCTATAACACAACCTTTTCTTCTGTTTTCTTTTTTTTTGGGGGGGGGGAGTTAAGCTGCACCTTCCCCGACACAACTTTCATCTCACATGACGGGAAAGACTATACAATATATTTATGTTTAATTTCATCATTTCATAATGTTTAATGAACACAACACACCCCAAAAGTTGTTCCTAAGCCTATTTTAGTCGCATTTTCCCATGTTGTTCCTAAGCCTACTTTAGTCCCTTTTCCCACGTTGTTTCCCGATTAATGATTTAAGCACTTGATTTGATAACTGAGATATCATCAACACACAGACCCTTGGTAACGTGCTTTCACAAACAAAGTGTTGTTCAACTCCCGGACAGTACTGATACACACGAGACATAAGAACTGTTTGAAAGCGCTTGGGTTCTCAGGTTTCTTATCTTAAGAAACACATACTAGTAAGTCAGCATTAAATCGAATAGGCTAACAATTATCACCACTGTAAGCAGAATTCTAACCTCTCTAAGAATATCTTAACACGAGGCCTGGTATTGAGCGATAGGTCTCGTCGGTAAATATAGTGTGGTTGACATATTGTTATGCATTCTTATTTACTTCCTCTCCCTAAATTCTTAGAATTAAATATATACAGTGCTTAATTTGTAAAAAAAAAAGAAGAAAGAACCAGATCCCTGTTGACTGAGGCTTGTGGGGCGGATTCAAACGTTATTATGACTACAATTTGAAAATGGAGGGTTGGGGAGCTGGAAGAAAGTAGTGGCGTTGATTACATCAGCCAGATATCTATTCGAAATGCAACCGAGGCAGATTTAAAGTTAATTATAATGTTTCTGCCTTTAGATAAAAAAAGAGAAAAACCCAAATTCGAATTGCTTGTTGTTAAGCGAAAAGCTACACAGTGGGCTATCTGTGCTGTACCCACTACGTCTAAAGAAACCCGGTTTTTAGCGGTGTGAGCCCTCGGATTTACCACTGTGCCACTGGGGGGGGAGGGGGACCAAATTAGTAGAAATCCAGAAAGACGCGACAAAAATATCGGTATCCGTATTTAATCGTAAGGTTAGTTCTTTAATTGCACAAATAATCTGTACTTTCACATAAAAAAGGACAAAAATCTGATTTCGTCCTCTGTCTTGGAAACAAGCATGTTTGTAAACAAGAATATAAATTTCGGCAGCAGTTTCTTTTTTAACAGCTGGCTTCACGGATCGCATGTCACGTGGCCTTGCTCATCGTGTCACCATATGATGGATGCTTCTTATTTCGTGCTAAAACAAAACCTAAACCTGCTTTGAAACAGGCTCTAAGAGTTCATGGCTGATACGTCAAAAGGTCTTCCCATACCTAAAAGGATTGCCACGTGTACACTGAGGTTTTGGGATTCATTAGGTAGAAAAGACTACACACACAAAAAAAGGGAAGTAATAGATTGTTGACTGCTGATTTCCGAGTGTTCTGAAGACGCATCTTCGTGTAATAGATTGTTGACTGCTGATTTCCGAGTGTTCTGAAGACGCATCTTCGTGTAATAGATTGTTGACTGCTGATTTCCGAGTGGTCTGAAGACGCATCTTCGTGTAACTGAGTGTACTGAAGACGCATCTTCTTTATGTTACGACTTTAACGTAATTAACGATCTGATGTTATAAGTCTCACAAATATATACCCATATTCGATCTGTCCGGGAAAACCATTACCAGGCCGCAGTTAGTGCCTGGACTGAACTTAGTAACACACATCCGTTATTGTAACACTATAGAAACAAGTAGCAGGTTACGTTAGTGCCAGGAGCGACGTAAATCACACATATTCCATTTAAATATTCTGACAGTTACCGAGGTATTATATATCAGCTATAATCAGTTGTATTTAGTTTCTAAATCACGTGTTAACCTACAGCCTTATATTTAGTTTCCTAGACCACGTGTGGACCTATTGCCCCTATTTGTTGACTATCTGTGACCCTACAGCCCCCTATGTTTGCGATCATCTATAGAGTATACGTTGCATGAAAGAAAGTGTATATGGATACGGCCAGGGACTTAAGATACTTTTTAAGTACTAAATTGGTACCTCCCCTCCCCAGTCTTAACGATTGCACTAAACAGATTTAGGCTTAGATGTTGCCAAGATTTTGCTGGTTCACAGTTAGGATTGTGATCCATTACTGTTCCACGACGCACCACAGTTGTTGCGAAGTGGTTGGCTTCTGTTTGGCGTCAAAGCATTCAGTTGTTGTCACAATTTTTCAATTCAATCGGAATTGAGAACTGGATTTTTGAAGGGCGGGATAATTTCAACACTTTCAATTTTCAGCTCCTTCTTGTTGCCCTAAGTACCAGTTACTGATCAAAGCAGTATGCTGTAAATCACTGTCTTGCTAAAAACCAAACCCCTGGCCAATAAGATGGAGACCGCTTGAACATGTTCTTACTGAACCTCTTTCCAGCTTGAATTGCTCATGGCGAACGGATTCTTATCCTAAAAATTGTCATAGAATTTCCAAAAAAAGTTTAGTTCATACAGTTTTGTTCCGTTCTTTAACCCAGTTCTTTACTGCACACATTATTGACTTTCCATTCAAAGTTCCTCTGTCATTTTGTGGTTTTTAAATTTAATAATTTAAGATAAACTAAAGAAATGAGGTTATTTTGATAATTTAAGATAAACTAAAGAAATTAGGTTATTTTAATAATTTAAGATAAACTAAAGAAATGAGGTTATTTTGATAATTTAAGATAAACTAAAGAAATAAAGTTATTTTAATAATTTAAGATAAACTAAAGAAATGAGGCTATTTTAATAATTTAAGATAAACTAAAGAAATGAGGTTATTTTGATAATTTAAGATAAACTAAAGAAATAGGTTATTTTAATAATTTAAGATAAACTGAAGAAATTAGGTTATTTTAATAATTTAAGATAAACTGAAGAAATTAGGTTATTTTAATAATTTAAGATAAACTAAAGAAATGAGGTTATTTTAATAATTTAAGATAAACTAAAGAAATGAGGTTATTTTGATAATTTAAGATAAACTGAAGAAATTAGGTTATTTTAATAATTTAAGATAAACTAAAGAAATGAGGTTATTTTAATAATTTAAGATAAACTAAAGAAATGAGGTTATTTTAGCATACAATGCCTGAAAAAGAGTGAGAGGAGAAAATGGTTATTAATTCATCAAATATAGAAATGATTAATAACAAACAATTAAGGACAAAAAGAGAAAAAATACGGGACTTGAACCGGGGATCCCAGTGGACATCAACTTGCAATGTTTATTTCGTGATTTACTGTTGTTTTTTTTATATATATATATCTACGCTGTTACTTCTATTAGAGACTAAAGTTTCTTATTAATTGATGTTTTTCATGGCTTGATTTTATCGTAATTACACATTTTATTAGTGGTTTATTTTTGTTTTAGCAAGTTAAACAGTAAAACAATAAAAACCGGTCACTGTCGGGCCTATCTAAAGACATGTACTGGTGATTAAAAATCCTAAAAAGTTGAAAATAGAAAACAAACTCAGAGTAAGATAATAAAGGTGTTTTTTTTTTCTTCCTTTCTTTTTTTTACAAACGGATACACAAATTGAGTTCTGTGGCTACAAGGCGTGGCTTGGGTTTGACAGATGTATCATGTGTAATCTTCGGTGGCAAGTTATGTGATGTTTCGTGTAACACTCAGTGACAGGGACGTCACATACGTCAAGCAATTTGTTCGACTTTCCAGGACTGGATATTCTCAAGGTGAGAACAGGAAATAGCTGTTTATTCGTAAGTTTTTTTCGTTTCTTATTTACGCGCAAAGCTGCTTGTCTGTTGACTTTGGGAGGTTCTCATTTTAATGGTGAAAAACACACCGTACTCTGAGATTGTGTATAATCTGTTCC